ACATTTTTTCAATGTTTTCAGGATGCTCTGTTCCAGCCCATTTCTATATCAGAATTGGGTTGAGCATTGAAGAGAATGAAAAAACTTCTCGCTATGCAGATTTTTCAAGATTTTCTTGACATGTAGCTGCTAATCAACTCATTAAAATGTAAATCATGCGAGCTTGCAGTTCTTAACAATTGGTTGCATCGTTATTTGTTGAGATCTTTATTTAAAGGTAGAAAGCAAAAAAACAACCCCCCCCAAAAAAACATCTACCACATATTTATTTAAATATTTAGGGTGGTATTGTTGCAAAGTTGGTCGCACTGCCCAGTTTCTCCAGTTTCTCCAGATTCAGTGATTTAGGATACCTCCAGGTGCTGAGTTTGGTTACAAAACACTGGCACATAAAGACAAGACCGACAAGACAGATAAGCAGGGAGGAGAAGCTGTCCAACAGCTGCTGGCCTGGTTGGGTAACACTCCAGCAGGACCCCCTGAGAGGAGCCCAGCCTGGGGTAACGTCTGCAGTCCAGTCGGGGAGGAAGACTTCAAACACGAGGCTTGTACAACCTCTGCCCCTCTGCAGCTCCCTCTCCTGCTGTTCTCCTCAGCTCAATGGGGGAGCTCTGAAGGCCAAGCCAGCAGTTGGCTACTCTATCAACCTGTTAAGTCCCCCCCTTCTTTTTAGCACATTCATTTAGATCTTTATTTCGTGTATTTCTGTGTAATAACAGATTAATATACCAACACAATGAGATACTCCTCGTGTACTTCATGATTCGGATCAGATCATTAAAAATAAATAATTCCAGAGTCACTGATTTCATTTCTATTACTAACACTCTCATAGGATCTGAGGAAATGCATAGTGAAGGCCCATCAGTCCTGGACTGAAAATGTGGTTATGATGCTTGGTTTGAACTCAAGGGGAAAATCTGGAGAAGTAAAAGCAACAATCCTAATTAGATGAAGTTAATCATTTCAAAAACACGAAGGATATTAGCGCTTCTATATTCCAGCTTGTCGTTTTTATCGTAGATATTTATTTGTGTTGATTCCGCTTGGCCTCACTCAATAATATCTGTTGGTCATCAGGCTGCCCACCCTCCAGTCAGGCTTAAAGGTGACACGTCACATGTAGTCAGGTCTAAAAGGAACTTCTGCTTCTCTACAGCGTACTTTTTGCTCTCACTTAAACCAGCGTAGTAAACACAGTCTAATCATGGACGATTAACGGGCAGTCCTTAAACACGGCTGACTAAGCGAGAATGTCTCCTTGTATTGCAGTATCAGGAAAAACAGCACTTCAGCATTAATAAGGTCTGTCGTAGGCATCTGCTGCATCACCATTTGATATAATCTCTGTGCCCTAGTGGCAAACCTCATACCCATTTTTCATCTAATGCTCCGCCAAATAATCTGGCACAAAATGTAACTAAATGCATTCCTCACCAGCAGTCCTCATTATTGACTCCCTACAGCTCCGTCCCTTCATTCTCTGTTAGAACATCACAACTCTGCTGGCGGCAGAAATCCACATAACAAGTCAAGGTTGGATACCCAATTAGTTTAAGCAGAACTGATATTTTCTTCCTTGAGGGTGGTTCGCGTAACGTGACGGCATGGTGATCTGTTTGTGTTTGTAGTCGAAGGTGACCAAATGGTGCTTTGGTAATGTAGCACTGGCATTGAGACAGTATGTTCACAAGTGGTCATAAAAAATAAAAAAAAGAAAAAGAGAAAAGCTTCTTTTGTTTAGAGGGATGAGGAATACAAGGGAGACCTAAAGGGTTGGGTATAATTCATACAAAGCTCCTGATTACCTGAGAGCATGTCTAACACACATTTTAATCCTCATACATTATGGTCAACATGCCATGTCAAATCAGTCAGAGGGTGCTCTTGCAGCAGGAAATCCAAGCAGACACAGCTGACAATCTGGGAGACAGGGCCCCTGGGACCAAGGGTGACTCAGCTGAGGACATTACTGCACGCAAAGCAATCTCACACACCCAAATACACACAAGATCTGGTGGCAGACAACAGTCACCCTGTCATCTTCGATTGCAGGCCACTCATGTTGGACCAGCAACACCTCACACAAAGCTCAGTGAGCCCAGGCCCCCCTGGTGCCCCACTGCCGCCACAGAAGGATTGCCAGAGAGTTAGTTCAGCTCTACAGAACAAACACAGAAATCAGTCTGCCTTTAATAACAAAAAAAAAGAAAAAAGAAAAAAAAAAATGAAAAAAAGAGTTAGTCACCTTAAAATAATGCCAAAAGAATCTGAATGCCACAGCTTGTAACTTGGCCGTGTTACAGAAATATCAATAGTGTGTGGTGATATGAATGGGTGTATTTGAACCAGTTTGTGACTATGGAGTGACTTGTGGTTATAAATTTCATCAGGTCATCTGAAAATAAACATGTACCCGAATTAGTAAACTGAAAAAGTCAACAAGGCTGACGTGCAAAAAGATGGGTTCATTATGGTCAAAAAGCTGATAATGCTATGTTTTGGTGGTTGAATATATTCAAATATGGCTTATAAATATTATAAATAATATGTATAATACAATGCAACTTAAAGCAGATGATATCAATAAAAATCTGGAGCATATTGAGAGATGTTTTTTGGCTCCAGGCCATCTTCAGCTAGCAAATGGGCTCACATGTGTTTGACAGATGGCACAGAGTGGATGGCACTGAGGGTATTCAGCTGTATAAATCTCATGCATGCAGGAATGTCTGCACAAGGCCAAACGCTATAGCACCTAAGCCCTGTGGTACTTGCCTATGCGAAGATGCTCTTGTTGAAATCTGTTTGCGCTTGTTGACAAAGTGCAGACGATTTGAAAAGTACACAGGCAACACCTCTGCTCTTCATCATTAAAGTTTGCTGTCTAACAAAAGTCTAAACAAAGCTTTTACACTCGGTTTGCACCTTAATTTAATTGATTGTCTTTACTTGCTCTCGTGGCAGCAGCAGTTTTTCACTGGATACGTCTGTTGTGAGATATGTAGGAAAGAGTTGGAATCCGTCCAACATATCTGACAACAGACGTACCCAAAAGCCCTCACCTTTGTCAGCACTAACTGAGAAAGTGATGTTTAGGAGCAGAAGGTGCCTGCACAGGTCTGTGAAATCAGCTTTGCTTCACTGTGGTTTTAAATGAGCCACGTGTGGCTGGTTTCAGTGTTAAATTATGAAAAATATTGTCAGCAACAACGGAAACACCAGTTGTATGTTTGCTCACCAGTGCAAAAGGCTTTGCAGATTGACATTTACTTGTTGCGTCACTCTGCTGCCACTTGGGGACAGAAACAAACATACAAAAACAAAATCAGGTCCCACCTAAATTCTACCTATTTGGGTTTTTACTAAATGTTTATATCTTTTTGCTTTGCCATTTTTTTCTACATCTCCTCCTCTTTCTGGATAACACAAACTAGCAACAAAAGCAGCATTTGACAAATGAATAACATCAGTGAGAGAAGCTGGTTTGTGAACCTAAAATATTGTTTTGGACATTTAACTGCATTGAGCTGATGTATACTTGCATTCACAAGAGTAGTTTGTATGTTAATATTCTTCTGCTTTTACATCATGGGAAGATGTGTGCAGAGGATTTCCTTTGGCTGGTGATATCTATCAGCTTACAATCATCTACTTGACATGAGCCTCCATGGGAGCACCGATAACACTGCCTGGGACTCCCAAACAAATGTATGAAACGGAGGGGCGTTACCACACGCACAGGGTGTTAATCAAGTGTGTGCAACGACAAAGGCAGGCTCCAGGAAACATTTTATCAGATACTGAAGAAGAGATTCCCCGGTCTATCTCATCAGATTTACAGCTTTTAGCCGCACATATCAATATGCAAGGTAAGCAAACGTGAGTGGGCGCAAAGGCCTATAAAAGTTGTAGGAAATGTGTGGAGCTCCTCTAAACTATGAATTTGCATCTTGGAAACACAAAGAGCAGAATAAATTGTGAAAGAGGTGGCTGACAGCTACTAACAGATGAGGGGGGCCTATCATGACGACTCTGAGGGCTTTGTAAGTGTCGTGGAGCCACATCGAGCCTTAAAACTGCATGTTTCGCGTCCATGCAACACTTTGGTAAAGCAAATCAAATATGATGCCTTTGAGACTGTTAATATTTTGAGGTTTGAGGGGGCTCCTGATGGTGAGCCCTCATTGTTAGGTGCACCCTTTGTGGTCATACTCGTCACTGTACTGAGAAGAGGGAAATAAAGGCCCTCTCTAACAGTCGGTCATGCCCCAGTGCTCCTGGAAACAACAGGTCCCAAGGACACAGACCTGCCTGGCCTATATTGGCTTGGCTCGCTGTTAGCGGTGGCGACACTAGCCCCCCGTCAGCGGTCTCAATCGGGGCCGGGCCGACCCTTTATTAAAGCTTTGAAGACTGCTGAACAAAGGAGCGTCCTATGTTTAGATGATAGAATGTAAGCAACGGGTTTTCTGCTTGGGCAACACAAGACAAAGACCCTCCTTCTGAATACGGAGAGTACGCAAAAGAGAGAGAGGGTGAAAAAACTTAGAGGGAGAAAAAAAAAAAAAACGAGGGTACTGTCATAAATCTGGGAGATAATTCATTAAATTTCCAGTGGGGGTTATATGTTCATGGACTGAGAAACTGCAGGAATTATTCTGATTGTTATTACAATTTCCTGTTGACCATCATATGAATATGTACAATGACTATGTACTATGACTACGTACTGTAATTAAGATTTTGATTCAATTAATCACATATTTCAATCACACAAGAAATATATTTAATGGTAGGTTGTCAAGTTTGACGAGCAAGTTTGACGAGATTGTAGGAAGTAATGCTGATATTGGAATTAATATATGTGATGCCACAGACAGAGGCGTCTTCTGATACAATATATTATAATGGTCATTACCATCTTCGTTTAAAAACTTAACTAAAATCAAAAACTAAAATCAACTGCATTCTGATCCATGCAGTGATAGGAGGTTTCAGAATTCAGAGAAGCCTGCAGCAGCACACCTGGACAAACCACTGCTGAGCTCACTGATCGAAAGAAAAGCTTTTGAACAGCTGTGAATATAAATCTACATGCATACCTGGTCATGGCTGGCTTGGAGGGTGCTCCCAGTGCCGTGGAAGGTCATTTGCACTGGGGAGAGGGTCAGATAGGTCACAAAGTCCTTACCACTCTGTGCATCACTGTACTGCACCTGGAGGAGGCAGGAAGACAAACTGAGTGACTTAAACACTCAATAAAAGGGGGGGGGGGGGATCATTAACACACTACCCAGAAAGAAAGAGAGATACAATGTTGTGATTTTGGAGGTGGCTGGCTTGAGAGCAAATCTTGCATGTATAATGTCTAACTGTCATTACAGAACATTTGTGTTTATCCCACAGCACAAAGCCCTGCTAAAGGAGGGAAATGAGTGTGTATGGTTTGTAAGGGGCATCCGAGGTAGTGATCACATCACAAATGACCTCTCATGATTGAGAGGTTAACTCTGCAGGCATTCCTAAATGCTGTGCAATCAGGACTGTTATGACATGATTCTCCTGTGGGACAGCCTGCTCCTGCGATGTAAAAGCTTTTAGTAACCCTGCCTGCCAGTCTGCCCTACTTCTCACTGGTTCTCTCGATGGCTTTATCTGTGTACGTGTAGATGTGTACGCCTGGCCTACTTCTGCCCAGGACAGCTGCAGGCATGTTAATAAAGACTGCAAATGACAACAAGAACCGAATAAAGGGAAATGCCCTAATTAACAAAAAGAGTTGAAGGCTTTAAGCTTCTAATGTCTGAGTGGACTAAGCTGAGAACTTCCAAAAGTTGGTATAAGAGGTTACTTCTAAATATGGAAATGATTTGTTGAATTTTAATCAGTGGATGTGTTGGTTTGTATACTTCCATGGCCGAGGAGTTTCAAGCAGTGACCTTCTTTTAATCAACAGAGAATGTGTGCCGTGAGACAAGACTACACATTTATGTGTGCGTTTTTCTCCCTTCCACACTGGATCGAAGTTTCATCTTATCTAGCCTGCTATTTAGTGGTTACACATGCTGCACAGGAACCCGCAAACCAATGTGGCTGTATACGATCTGTGACTGAAAGCTTCCAGAGTGGTATGGGTGTGTGCGTGCGTGTGTTTCTCTCTGAATGAATTATGATCAACCAGCCAGACACATGGAAGCCCGCCTGCAAAAGACACACACATGCATCAAAAACACACACCAACACAGAGATATAAGAATGTGTGTCCGTGACGATATGAGTGACCGTGTGATGTTAAAGACAGTGCATACGCACCGCACATGCCAGCAGACATGTGCGGACACAGCTGCTGATGAGATGGGCTCGGAGTGATAAATTGTGGAATGCTATCTGTTATGTGTATGAATGATGAATGCAGTAAAGCGAGCCGTGGAAAAAGCCTTCCCAGACAAGTTAATCTCTAATAAATTCCCCAGGCTTCACATAAAGGGGAAAAGAAAAGGAGAGAAAGCGGAAAGGTGAAAAAAACCAACAAAAAAAAACAGAGAAGGTACTTATCTGAAGGTAAAAGCACAATTTGTAGCATGAGAGGATGTAACAAGAGACCTATGCTAGAAACTTGCTAAATAGAGATTGTGAAAGAGTTAAAAAACTACACTTAATGTAGGAGTGTCAATCTTTGGATCTGTGTGTGAACGTCCCGGGTATCTTCTCGAGCTGTGGTTGGGAGCCGGTGACATATGGCGTAACCATGCTGATCAGTGAGCACTTTGTCGGTTCATCTACTGCAAACTGTCAGGACTCCAGCTGAGGGTGAGGCCCTTAAATTATGCTCCAGGAAGTGAACCTTCTTCTAAAAGCTCTCACTTGAAAAAAAAAGAAATCTACTCGGACAAAATCAAATGTCTACTAATCCCAAACTGCCCCTATTGTCTGTGATGTATCTGATGATGTAAGAGTAAAGCATTCTTAAATTTTTCATTAAAAAACCCCCACAGATAACCACAATGGCAACTGCGCACAAATTGCAAATGTATCACTTTCGATTCTTAATATCTACATACACCTGAAAACTTTTATGGTCTCGATGCTCCAACAAGCTATCAGAATTAATATATTACGCGTTCAGTAGTTTTTTCTTATCATACTCAATCAATTTAGTTCTTCCCATTCCTTTTTTATCTCAGAAATGGGAATGCTTGTGTTGCACCGAATGAGCAAAACATGATGTGCTTCAGTCAAACTTTGGTTACAACAGAAAAGTTGGCAGACCATGCAACGTCACCCGAAGGTTTTTCTCTCCTGGTGGCTCTGTGATAAAATAGTCAAAGTGCCCGATTACTTTTAGGATTTACCAGCACGTCTGACCTGCAGGCGGGAAATGAAGTTGTCTGCTCTTCCGATAACACAGCGGGATCATCTCTTTTGTTATGATGTGGCAAAAACTAAAATAACGAGGACCATAAAAACAAACCTCTTTCCTCCAATGGAGCCCGTCTGCTTTGGGTGGATATTATGCATGCATCTGTGAGCGCATGCATTCTAAACAGGCCCAACTAATCATCCCAGGTCCCATCACAGAAAATGGCCTCTAATCCACTTCCTTTTAAAACAAAGAAGCAGGAGAGTTACGCAAGGCCTGCGATTGATCGGCGGCACTAATGTGGAACGACCTATGACATCTGGCTTCTAAAGCTGGACTGCTCCTCTTCCAATGGCTCTCTTCATTTGAACAAACACGAACATGCACAAACTAAAAAGCAATCACAGTCAGTGTTCATACAACCACAGCAAAATCTATGGGAAGCGTCTACAACTGAAAATGAACTGGCTAATTAAAAAAAACGCAACTCACAAAATCAACCATTACCAAAGGTTTCGTACTGCAGGAGTAATTAGTTTAAAGTTTTTTTTGTTGTGTTATTTCAGCAGACATACAACTGAAGTGAGCAGTGAAAGCATTTGAAAGCAAGTGCAGTAGGACGAGTCAAAGAGCACGGAAAAAACTTTGACTTTACAATAATAAACATAGCCCACTCCATGGAGAAAAGCTGTCATTGTTGGTGAGAAGCAATTAGGGATCCACACTTAGTTGCTTCATTGGGGACCTCAGGGTTCAAGAGGGCTTGAAGCACACTGTTAATATTCTTTTCACTTCCAATGATGGCAGGATGTTGAGGCTAAACAAAGGTGCTGCAGTTTCAACTCATTCTGCATTAAGAAACAGGTTCTATTGAAACCAGCCTATTACTGAGAAAGAGTTAAAAATAACCTCATTGAAAGCAAACGGAAAGCAGGGTATGTGGAGTGGGCTACATGATTCAATTAGATTCGGAGAACCCTGCAGACACACAACAGATTCTCTGGCAAGTAACTGATGATGTACAAAAAAACAAGGATGGGTGTTATGAACGTGAAGCCGCTACAATTCTGACCTCAGTCAAATATGAGCGGGCACGTTCGCTAAAGTGATCGCAGATATGCCTCTAGATGTTGCAGGCATCCCTGCCATCATCTGCTCAAAAAACAAGAGCATTTGTCTTATACTCATTCTGTTTCAAAAACATGTCTTTATCATTGTGTTGTATTTGTTTTGTTCAAGCTGTTGATGCTTTGGTTGAAAACAAATGAAAAGATGATTGGGACCATTTGGCCTTTCCCCATGTGTATGCAATAAGCCAGAGGTGACTGGAGCTGCTTTTGATTCATACAACAGAAATATTGAAAAATGCTTATATACTATGAACATTTGCTTTGGAAAACTGAACCATGCTTCAGGTAAATTGCACACCACCATCTTGGAACCCATGGAGGTGCATTGTATACACCACATTCATGATAGTTTATAAAAATGTAATCCTCCATCATTTCGGCACTGTCTCTTGACATGTTTGGTGGCTTCTGAAGGTGTCTTTTGTCAGCCTGAAGCATGACAAGTCTACCTCTGCAGAACACAAATAAGATTCCATGGGACTGATTTAATTATCACATTCCAATAGTAATTTGTGGCCTTCAATTATTAATCTCATTCCCATGCACAGCTAACCAGTTGCTACGTCATAGCAACACATGACCGTCCATTTTCTCCCATTTCTTCATGACGTGTTTTTCTGACCACGTGAGGCTAAAATATTTTACAAATATTTTTTGGCAATGTCACCAGATGAACTGGTTTTCATACTGAGAAATTTCTTTGAGAACTTTTTTTTTTTTTGGAAAGGATGCAAACATAAGCACTGAAGACATTATCACATCATTGTATTGTGTTCTGTCATTTTTCAGTCATAAAACAGATATCTAGGGATTTAGGCACAGAACACAGTACTATATGGCAGTTATATTTTGCATGGTGTTTGCCAAACCAAACAGTCATGAGAACACTTCAAACTTTGTCTGCAGTTTGTGAAAGGGCTCTCTTAGAAAAGAGGGAGCTAAAACTGGTGGAAGAAGGCAAGCCCAGGGCTTTTTCCGAGAGCAGCAACTAGTGTGCAGATACCGGAGATTCCCCCTACAAAATGCCAGGGTTAACACACCCTCCACCTCCCCCTGCTGAGACTGCACTGGCACACAACTGCCATCCCTGCCAAGCATTGAGAATTCAATGAAATATGATCAAATCAACCAAAAATCAAAACAACAAAAGGCAAGTTAAAACCGATTGTGCTGCATATTCAGATTTGAAATATGCTGTGCTGGCACTTGAGGGCAATTGATTTAAAGGTTTGTAAATGGGCTTGATTGCGGTGTAAAAATATCATCACTCGGTTTTGCCAAATGCACACAGACACAGGCATACGAACTGACACGCACGCACAGGGCCACCGTGTAAGCAGAGACCGCGCTGAGCCAGCGCAGCATTAGCAGTCTGATTTATTCTACCGACAAAACTTGTTTTCGAAGATCGCTCTTCACACAGATATGCCGCAGAGTGCAGCTGGAAGCCATCATTCTGCCGCAGAAATCAAACGTGGTGGGATTAGCCATCCCAAAATGTATTTTCTAACGCAAATCCCAGAGTAAACATAGAGTGGAGGAATGAGATGATGACAAGGAGGCTGGAAACAAACTGTTAGTCTTTGAACGTTTGTACCAGACCAGGCGTTTGATGTTGATACTGAGAGATGAGAGTGAGCGATGGAGATCGGGGAGGGAAAAGGAAAAGGAGATGGTAAAAAAAAGTAAAAAAAAAAAAAAGTGCGCATGTCCAAGGTGTAGTCGGCAACACTTGAAGTGGTTTTTCCACATAGCCAAAGAAGGAAGCAGGGAGAGGGAAGAACAAACAATACGAAAGTGTGAGAAATCCTGGGAACTGCACTGAAAAGATATCAACACCAGCCACCCGCCAAGGATAGTGTTTTCATTAACACGGGATTTCCAATACAAAAGTTATGATTCCAGCACAGCAGACGGTACATCCCTCCCTTTTCTCTAAATCCATCTTTCTCATTAAGCTGCCGTGCCTTCAGAAAATAACTCAGCTGATTAACATCTCTGCTGTGATGTAGCTTTAGATGTCCAGAGCTGATACAGGTAGTGAATACGACCCAGATCTTTAAGACCATAACCTGGAATGATAATCCTGTTTTATCATCCATGTTTACATTTTGCACCATCTTGCGTCACTAAAATTAAACATCTGATCCCTATCAAGATTCAATGATTTGTTTGTACTTTTTACAATTTGAAATGAGCAAATCACCTCACAGACATTAATAAAAAAAGATAAGCGATGTATTAAGTCATATTTAATCTAAACACTACTGGCTGGACAAAAATCAATTCTCCAAAGTGGTTGTCATATTTTCCATTACAAAACAAGAACATCCTCAGGAGAGGTCTAATCCTTAGTTCAGGGTACAGGGCTGTCACTATCACAGTACCTGCCAGTTAATGAGGCATAAGGCTAATGGTACTAAAGTCGTGAAAATTGCTTTCACTGACTATTTTTAACGTAACCTAAAAAAAAAGATAAAACATAATAACATCATGGCAAAGCACATGGAAGCGGAATGTAATTCACATCTGTATGGCTTGTATTTTAAAACCAACAACGCTCAGGAGTACACAATTACACTCTTCAAGCCAGCTTTAACAATCCAATCCATAAAGGCAGTGTAAATGCTTCACACTTGGAAGAAAAATGAACCAGACACCTGTTTTCCACAGTATTAAGCATACAACGACCCTGATTTAGCTTAGGGTTCTGAGTGCTTTGCAAACTTGTTTAAACTCTGAAATTCTTGAACAGTTCTTGAACTGTCTTTCAATAACCTTCATGGACTTTGTAAAAAAAAGTTAATGCAAATTAATATAAGGGAATGACACAGAATAAATCAAGTCTGAAGTGGTATTTTCCTCAGTCCGGATGCTCGCTTTGGAGGTAAAAAAACACTTGAATCTATTCCATCATTCCATCAATCACTGATGTCCTATATAGAAATTTCCTGCTCATTTCTAACTGTGACAGCAGTTAATAACACGAGGTGATGGCAGTCTGTGGTGACTGGTGAAGCAAAGCGATGGCAGAGTAAATGGGCAGCTGGTGACTGCAATAAAATAATGAAACCTATCAACATGTACAGAGTGAGGGATATAATTAAAGACCATCTCAAACCAAAGCTTGAGATCAATGTAGATTAGAGGCCAAAGCAATGACAGAATGTTACAATACTATATTAAGAGAATAGTAAGGGTAAAAGAGCAACATAAATAGCGGAGAATTTATTATATAGACTCTAAATCAGAGATTTTTTTTATTCCATGTGTTGTCTATTACCTCTTTTTTTTCTCGTTTCTGCCCTACTTCCAGCTCACATACCCGCCGTGCCAACAACAAGCCAGCCAAATTAATAGCAAATACAGACACACACACATACAAACACACTGGAATGGGTGCCAATATCCTCGCTCCCAGCTGGCATGAGTACAAGACACTGTTGCTTATCGAGTCCAAGCTTTCACTAGAGGCTGTTTTCCAGTCCAATCAAAAGAAGGGCTTAGCAGGTAGGCGCGAGCCTTTGTCTCTGGGGATGGATGATGAAACAGGAACTATGAGAGTGCCCTGGGTGTTCGCTTAGTTTCTCTCTCTCTCTTTTTTTAATCCAGCATTGGGTGGAACCGTGATCCACACACTTGAACAATATAATGAGATTACAGTAACAAGGTTACTAATCAGAACATGAGATTATTATCAAATTTCTTTATGAAAAACTAAACCAAAATAAAACAAAATCTCTTGAGCAGATTTGCGTGCGTATCTGTAGATGAGTACGGTTGACAGAAAGCCACCTCAACACAAACACCACGGGAAACTAAGCAGTTTTCTGGCAAAACATTTGAAACGTGTGGTGACTTGGCCTGCAAGAACACTTAAGAATACATACGCCTTAAAGTCTTTCTAACATGTCTGTGTAAGCAGCTAAAGGTTCTCATTACAAACCCACATGATATAAAACATCCCCTTCAATGAAACACACATTGTCCGCATGTCTCAATTACAGCCTGAATTCTTTACTTAACAAAACACATAAGGACACATAGATTTGTCAGTACGCTGCTGCCAGATGCCATGTTCACGCTGAGAAAAGTGGCAAAATAGTGGCAGGAACCGTGTAAAATGGGTTTTAGTTCATACAGTGACGAACCAAGGCAAAATTTGACTTTACAGATTATTTAAAGACATTACTCATTGATTCAACTGAACAGATTCTGTGGTGTGTGTGTGTAGGCCCAACTGCACCGTACAAGTGTGTTTGGGCTTGGCTGGGCAGCAGGGCTCTCTCAGGTTACACACTCACAGGAAGGCTCAGAGCAATAACAAAGGCCTTTCAAAGGAACCCTCAGCAGGTTAAGATAAAATGTTTTCGCTCAAACTGATAAAAAGCATCTGCAGCTTAAATGAGCGAGTGCAGTGGTATGTACAGCAGATCGGTCACTGCAGATTACAACAGACATCGGCCTGTCTCCCTCTCTGGAGTCGGACTCACACACACAAAGAATGATGGGAGTGCGTGTATATGTGTGAGATCAGACAGAAGCACCTGTGAAGTTCCTGCACGATATCCACCGACTGCCAATAATATCCAGAGTGAGAAAAAAAAGTAAACAATTATCAAGCAGTTTTAAACTGGAGGTTCTCCACATGAGAGTGGGAGCCCACCACCACCTCAGAACCTCTCTTCTTAATAAGTTACCCATCAACACATTCTCATTTATGGCTATAGCAAAGAAGCTGGTGAATCAGGACATAAACATATGTTCAGTAACAAGCATGTCAAAATCAGGCAAAGCTACAGGTTAACTGGAAATGAAACAACAGCTGTCCCCATTAACACAAGGGGGAAAAAAGTAAACCGTGTTAAAAAGAAAACTTTGACTGAACTGCACGGTCTGAACCGTTTTTCATTGAGTAAAATAAAATAAAAATTACCAGGAAAATATAAATCTGTGTATTATCAGGAGGGTTTTATAAGTGTACTCCCTCAACAGTGTAATAATTTTGTTTTAAGGTTTGTTGCTGGCATTGATTATACTCTCTGGGGTACCTAAATCATGAAATGCTTTGCATGGATCTCAGCTTTCCAACAATATGCCGTGTGTGCAATGGCCCAGCACACACCAGCTGTTTGATGGTGTTTGTAAGCTTCAGAATCAGAAAGGATGTCTCTCATGCTCTTGTCTTCCTGTCATAACATGCATATTACACGACAAGTGCAAGTCAGATCAGGGTGTAATTTGTGATGGGTGTTTATTTGCATACAGAGCAGGTAACTGAAGTCGGGTAATCAGGATACGCCTGGGGACGCTCTGTAGGAAAGTAAGTTAAAAAAGCAGAAATATAAAAATAGGCCAAACTCTGGATTAAGAACTACAAATAAAAAAATCATTGTATGAGTTCATTGTATGAATTCATTGTAAGTGTTCTGTTGTTCTGTGGACTCCCTTCAAGCAGCACTATTTAACATCTTACCTGGAAACCCTGGATGCGAGCCAGGTAGTCCAGCTGCTGTGCTGGTTGCACTGAGGCGCCACAGGCCACGCTTTTTCCCTTCATGGTCAGTGATGAATCGCCGGTGGGTGACTGGCCATTAAGTAGCAGCTCCCTGGCCATGGTAGCAGTCGGGCTGGGAGAAGAGGAAGAGCCGCTGTAATACGGAGGATGTCCAGGGGGTAGAGGAGCCGAGCAGGGCCCCAAGTCTTTGGATGTCATGTAGTTGACAGATCCTCCACCGCTGCTCCCGGAGCCTGGTGCACTGCTGCTCTGTTTTCTGCTGGCCTCCATCTCCTGATACACATCAGGGCTGAGGTGGAGCAGACCCTTCTGAGCTGGAGAAGTCAAAGAAGATGAGAGAGGGAAGAGGTGTAGGAGGTTATGATGTTTGAGATGAAAAATAGACGAAAGAAATACGGGTTTTGTGGTTGGATGAATGAATTATGGTGTGTCCCTGACCGTGTTCATCAGTGTGCAAATGTGTGAGTGTGTTCCTAAACTGGCATTTCATCCCCAAACGCAGTTGATGGTTTCTTGTGGTTTGGCATATCCAAATGCAATCAAAGTGACTGCTGGGAAACACACACAGCCTTTTCTCTCTCACTCACTCCCCAAGGCAAACACGGAGACACAAACGGAGCATCCACCAGTATCAACCGAGCGTCTATGACTTCATCTTTGATGGGAACCAGCAGTGTCAGCTAAGCTGCAGCCTGTTCCACTTATAACTTCTCTTCAATCCAAGACCCAACAGAACCCGGAAGCGGGTACTTGGTACTCATTGGTAGAAAAAAACAAAAATAAAACAGGACAAATTATCATGAGCTCCTCTGGTCAAAGGAGCGGTGTCACCGTTGTTGTCCCAGTCCAGCTGAACACTATGGCCCTCCAAGACTATGTCCAGCTCCAGACTGTTTGGATGCATTTCTTTGTTTATGCTGGCTTCTCTGTACATTAGGGACCCAAAATATTTGTGGCAGGTTGAAGAGGGACACGATGATGGGTTCAATACATTCATCACAGCTGTGAGTGTGAGGGGAGAGCAATGAGGCGTTACATAAAGGGGAGAAGACACAGACATTTGAAGGCAAGGAAAGGATAAAAGACAAGGATGAGCTGGGAGCATGTTACGATGGAAGAGGATGTGAGGATGAGTGGATGTGAAACCCATGCGGAGCCTCCAAGCCCAGCCAAGGTCACCGGAGACCGGAAGACCAGCTGTCTGTGTGTCTGTGTGTTTGTCTGAGGGCTTGTTTGCGTGTGCATATGGACTAACAGCTGGGAGAAAGTGCTGGAGCGAGCGCATGACTGACAGGCCACTTCCTGTTTCAGTTAACATTTGCCATCGCTCACAGACGCACGCACACAGATACGGAGTCACACACTTGCAGCTTACTCTAGTCTATGGTTTCTGGGAACCTGCTGACAGCATTTCCCATTACGAACAAAGGGGTTTGCGCTCCTTTCCAGGAGAACAGAAAAGCTGAAGGAAACAGCAGTGAAATCCAGGGTTCATTACTCATACTACACAAGCTGCCCCTTGCCAGCAATGACACAACTGCAAGGCTTTTTTCTCTCCCCTCCCCTCCCAATCATGATGACAACTATAATTTGAATTTACACGAGTAGAGGTTGCACATTGTGAACAAAGCACCATAAAAATAAAAGGTGTTAGCCAACATGACATCAGCAGTGGACCAAGATTATCGGGAGGGAACGGGGGGTTTGCAGTCGATGTAATCCATGCTTGGTTGCCCCTGTATGCATATGAGGATGTTTGCATGTTTGACTTGAATCTGGCGTCAGATGTTGAGCGTGAGAGCAAGAAAACCTGGTTGAGGCAAGAAGGGGGGGTTTGAACGAGTAACAGCGGCAGAGTATTTCTGAGGGATGTCGAGACAGCAGTTGGGAAATTGTGTGCACGAAGCTGCAGCTAAACAAGAAAAAGGGAGAGAAGCAGAGTCTGAGAAGGAGGGCATGAAAGAGCGAGGGAGAGCCTGTTTGTGGTGCTGGTTCCAGGCAGTGGTGGAGGGGTCCCGCCCAGACTCGGTGTCCGGTGGGCCAGGGGAGCGCTGGAGGGAAGCCAGAGCCAAGCATGAGACTGATCGAAAACAGATAGGGCCGGAGCCCGCTGCTATAAATCACCAGTGTAGAGCAGGACCTTTACATAGCTCACACATGCACACAATGCACAGACACACATGCTCGCACACACATATGAACAGCAGGAAATGAAATGTGGCAACTCAAGTGAAAAGCCCTGCCGCAATACCCATGGGAATAAAAGGGAGAAAAATCACTCCTCTTACTTCTCTTTCTCCTGCTTTCTTTATACGCTCCCTTCCTGTCTCTGAGCCACCCTGTTTGTTGTAGCAATGTCTTCCACAGCTTACATGGGGCAAAGGACACACACACACACACACACTGAGATTTAAAAAAAGGGCTGATGGCAAGTGAAGTGTATGTGTTTTGAAAGCAAGAGAAAGAACCCAAAGAAAGCAATAAACAGACAGCCCTTGACACATTTACCTACTTTCTCCTCGTTTGGCACAAATTTAATGCAGAAGTAGTCTGTGTTATCGAGGACAGATGGTAAGTGACAGGACTGTGTTTTCGTACTAGTTAGTTGAAGAAAAAGCGCTACAGAAAAAAAGCGAAGTTTGGATGTCCTTATATAAGAAAAATAACGTTTTATCCAGAAGGGTTTTTCTTTCATCCCTGCTTGTATACTACTGAAGTCCTTCTACAGCAATAATGAAATCAATACACTGGTAAGGAAAGTCTTTCAGGGCTCAATAATTTTGCTGTTTGCTTTCTTAGGAAACGTTTGGAAAAATCATCTATTTAACAGTAAAAGTGGAAAAACACGAGTGTTGAGATTTTTCTTATTTGCAACCCACAGTGTTGACTGGTAGTCTGGAACGGTGCCACCTGAAATCGTGTGGGTAAAGATTCCTTTAAAAGGAATGATGACAAGTGTTCCTTCCTTCCACATTAGGTGTGTTAACTGTTAGTGATGTTATCATTGCAGGGCTCATGAGTGTTTTCTCCCTAATATAGTCTGATTAAGCCCAATTAGTGCTAAAAGAACATCTGCCGTTAGTGCCAAAGAGAGACAAATTGATGACAAGTGACCATAAACACATATCTTAATGTCGTTCCAGCAATGAACCGAAAACAAACAATAGAGAATTTTTTGCAAAAGAAAAGACAGAAACACTATAATGTCATAAAGAGAAAAAAAGGTTGATTTTGTTCTGTTGTGTCTGTTGCCATAACTCTGCAGAAGAATAGCTTGCAACTAATCCATTCAACACTTTGTAAGTCATAAACTGATTTTATAACTGGAAAAGCAGTGAAAGAATGCATTACTAAAAAAAAAACTAACTAGATAGATTTCTTCTGGGAACATTTTGCACAGAAAACAGGAGCAACTAAGATATAATAAGATGAAAACAATACATGGATGTATTTTATTGATCCGAAGCTGGAAAATCATCGTAGATATGGTAGATAAAATATGCAAAGCATTTCTTCACATTTGGTTTCAAGGATACTTTCAAATAGATTTGAGTCGTTGGAAAAAGTGACCTGCCATCCAGTACATTGTACCGTTTTATCACAGCAGTCCCTCGAGGAAAGCTTACAATAAAAATAACATAGCAATTGACATTACTGATTCTTATTAAAAAAAAAAAAACTGTCAGAGATAATCCGAACTTTTAAAGAGCTTCTGTCTCCATGAAAATGGATGTATTCTGCCGAAGCATAACTAAAAGGGAGAAAAAAAAAACACCGTCACAGTAATGACAAAACTGCTCTAAACATTCATCTTTCAGCCTGCAAGTTACCTGCATTTTCCCTAGATATCATCTGGATAGTCAATCTTTACTGTACATTTAAAACATTTAGCATAAAGCAGAAAAACCTAAACCCGATACAGCTTGTGTGTAATCTTCTGTCAGCAGCTGCTAAAAACATTTCATCGTGCACATACTTTTCTCAAGATGGGCCGTTAGTTATTTTTACTCCTTAGAAAATAAACAGATAGAGTCAATAAGAATAAAGAGTAAATTAGAACCATCTTCTATTCAGCGCACACCCAGAAAACTGAGACCAGCTGTATTTGTCGGGCTGAGTGGTGTTTATGCCGTAAACATTATTCAGACATTAGCATCGTGTGAGTGTTGTGTGGTTTTAGCGCTTTACAGAGCTGATTAGCAGATAGTTAAGCCTCATGCTGAGTGCAAGATACACCAAGCAGGAATGGCACTAGACCAAAGGAACACTCTAAGCCAACAATAGGAATAATCACCATGTAAAGGAAGACCTTGTTACCCCCAGAGGCTCAACTCGGGAGGTATTAAGCAACTCATGGAGCTCGAGCTACCATAGAAACCACAACCTCCAAAACACTTCAACCAAGAGAGCAACCATTTATCTTTCTCGATAATTTAGATGATGAATCATGGCTATGATGGCCTCAGTAGTTGCAGTTTGTGTTCTTGCCTGGATTCTGTATATTAAGTCCACACATTTGTGGAATAACCCTTTAGGATTTTTGCGCAGAACTCAGACATCCCATCCATTTTGCTCTCTAGAGTGAGGTCAGAGCTCTGCAGCTCTGCCAAAAGCCTCCATTAGGCCAAAGTGACGACAGCACATTTGAATCTAATAAGGTTATCTGCTTGTTTTCTACTCTCCAGCTCCACATCTCACAGACTGTTCATTTGTCCCGAGAACGACTTCTGCTTAGGCTGCTGGCATCTGTATTGCTGGTATCTGGGGTAAAACTGCTCATAGCGAGTATGTGTTCTAATCACTGAGAGACATCACAGCATACAAAACTCTTATGATGCAGGCCAGTCTGCTGCTTTAAGACCATGACGAAGGACATTTTTGCACAACTCATTTAATCAATTGTGATTCTGAGCTTAATGCTCTCCAGCACCATGTGGAGATAGTTTTTTTTTCTTTTCCCCCAGATTTTAGAGAACCAACGAAAAAGCTAAAGATGGAACAAAAAGACCTGAAAAGGCCTCTGATTTTTGGAAGAGAAAGTTTTTTTCAGTTTTTTTATTTTGCTTTCAGACACAAGGGCCAAGTTAACAACAACGTACAGCTGACAGAGTCCAGCTGTTTCTTTAAAGATGCATCCTTTCAGTTTCTGCTGACAATTTTTTGGCTCCTTCCCCTCTCTATGAACAAGAGTTTCCTTAAGGCCATCACAGCCATGTAAACTGTGACATAAATCTTGCCATGAAACTATTTTCTGCATGTCCAAGAGGGAGAACATTTTCTCCTTCTCCTTTGTCTGAAGTGCACGTTCAGCAGGAAAAAAGCAAGTATAAATCCATTTATCCCCCTATCTTTTAAAATTCTGCAAAAGTTGGCTACAGAGAAGGCTGAAACCTGTCTCCTGTGAGGTGGGGGAATCCCTTAGATAATTTATAAGTATCTCGCCAGCGAGTCGTGGGTTTGATCCGAGGCCCCCAAAACATGGCTCTTCCCATCAAGAAGAGGCACCTTATGGATCTCTGGAAAAAACTTGAGCTTCATCCTCTTAATGATGACTGAGGATCTACCCTGTGAGGAGTTTAAAATGTTTGAAAAAATAAATAAATCTAATTTTCTCAGAAGGAGTCATAATTTAAAATTGGAGGCGAATAGAAAGGAGAGGAATACAAACAAACTGTAAATGGAGTAAAGCTCTCCATTATGCTTTGAAAAAGCCACCTGGGAACGAGTACGTCAGAGAGGAAATCTGAACCTCAGTGGCTGTGCCATAGGGGTGTAAAAATATACTTCTGGGTTAAGCCCCTAATGTTTCCTTATGATAAAACCTTTAGACCAAACAGAGGAAAAAAAAAATCTGACTCATGAGCCTCGCTGCCACCTTAAGTAGCATCAGCATTAAAAGATTTGAACATATCTGATGATGTGAAAAGTTGTGAATGATGAAAGGTCGGAATGGTCAACAAAAGCAAAAAATATAAATTGAGTGGTCTTTCTTCCAGTCTGAGCCAGAAAAAACACTAATATGACATAATTAATACAGATTTAACTAATTCCCAAAGGAAACAGCTCTGTCCATTTCCATCTATTGGATGTCCACTACAGTCTGTTTCTTCTCTTTAGGGTTTATTTATTGATAAGACAACAGTATGCTTTCCAGAATTACAATGGCTGGAAACCCAGTAAGCATGTGGTTTCTCACAGAAAGCTGGTGTTGGTGAGTCATTACCACGTGCCTTCTATAATTTTCAGAAATCGTGCTTTGAATTTGCAGCAAAAGAAGAGCGATTGGCTTTTTTTTTCTTTTTCAACTTCCTCTTTTCCACAAACCACTTATGTAAATATTCACTGCCAAAACGGAAATTTATTTTCCCCTCCCATATCAGATCCAATTTCAAACTTCAGTCTTCCAGTATTCTAACAGACATTAAGAGAAGGGCTGAGAAGTACAAAAACTGACAAACCTGATGGTTCCCTTTTTCAAAATTGCAACCACTGAGCAAGTTTTTGATTCACAAAGCACTGTCATAACTATTTTTATCTCCATTTATACTTTGTGTATTGTAAAATCAGCCAAACCTGTAACATGTTTTGCATGTTTGTATCAGGGGTGTGTGTGTGTGTGTACGCATGCAACTGCACTCCCGTGTGCTTGTGTGTTAATCCTGAGTGAAAGGCTATGTTTTTGCACAGGAAGGCAGCGGGGGGACTCCCCGGAGGGCCTCTGTGTGCTGGCCCTGTAAGCCTGTGTGAATGAGCCTGAATTCGCAGGCTCCCCACGAGGACGCACGGCCGATTAAGCTGACAGTCAGAGGCCCATTGACCAGTCACAGAGATTAAACGCCGGGCCATCTCGGTGGCTAAAACCACCTGCGGGATGGAGGGAGTGATAGAGATCCAGAGAGAAGGAGGAGAAGGAAATGGCAGCAGACACAGGGAGACGTGCCGATACTCACTGTTACTTGTCGCTTCGGTAAAAGACGCCTTTTGTCCGTTCCAGCTTTTGTTGTCCATCTGTGATGATGAAAAGAAAAGGAGGGAAGGGGGAGGTAAGAGAGATGTCGATTCTCGAACAGACAGCTCCTTCACGCATGTCAGACAAGTTCCTTCCTACTGTTTGTTCCACAAAGAGACGAGCGCTCACAAGAAGTGATGCTTAAGGAGCCCAGTGTCTCACAAAGCCAGTTACTTAATTAGAGGGGGTTGTCAGTGTTTAGTAAGTAAAAAAGATCCTTTTCAAAGTATTACTGTTGCTCACACACACAGCCACAAACATGTGAAACAGAAACAAATCATTTCTGATGTGTGTGACAGCTGCAGAGATGATTGTGCATAAATTCACCTCAAAGTCTCCTCACGCACTTTCTCAGATCTTACAGTGGGAATGTGGTGAAAAAGAGCTCTAAGAGAACGGAGAGACGCAAGGTAAGGAAGACCAATTACAGACGCTACAGAGCTCAGGGTCATCCGAGGACTTCAGAAAAGTAGGTCATCCAGTAACAAGATGGGACATTGAGTAAAAGAAACAGAATACGTTTTTAACTTATATTTAAGTGGGTATCTGACAAAACCGCTGTATTTGTTGCTCACTTTATTAAGTGTTTTTCCTAAGTCATTTTTAATCTGACACCAAGAGCATTTTCCAAAAAAGCTGGAACGGGAGCATGTTTATCACTGCGTTGCGTCGACTTTCCCTTTTAACAACACTGAATAAGCGTTTAGGTACTGAGGACAAGCTTTGCAGGTCTAGCTTTTACCCCTTTTTGTGTGACGTAAAACTTAGGTTGCTCAACAGTCCAGGGACTCTCCTGCTCATCCATGGAAGGTACCAAACAGGTGCCCCTGACCCAGCTTTTGGGTCAGGGGCACCTGTTTGCAGATCTACATTAACCCTAACCCTAACCTGGGGTTTAGAAAATCTAAATCAATAGAAAATGTATCTACTACCAGTTCAGCTTTGCCTGAATATTGAATTATTACTAGACCATTGGGATGAATATTAAGGCAAAAGGAATCAGCGTCCACCATGATTAAGTTTTTTTACTTTAAGTTAACTTGAGAAATATAGTCTGGTTGCTTGAATAATATACATGCAACATCACACATCTAACTAATGAGCTGCCGGGGGAACTGTTGACATTCAACAGAAAGCATGGTTATGTAACATCATCTCTATCTTTTTCTGCTCTCTTGAGCTTAAAAGGCAAGGAGGTGAATAAAGATGATGGTGATCGATAGCTGCTCGCAAAACACATTTGGTTCAGAGGAGCTGAAGGAGTTGCATAAGAGGTCAACAACACTGAGACTGCTGATGAATCTGGGAGTCGACTGGGATTCACTTTGTCTGCACAAGGCTGAGGAGATGAGACCTCAGATGTTAGCTCGTTTACATGTTTTCGGATGTTTAATATGAGGAGAATTTCTCTGGAACTTCCCCAAGATTAATTTCACTGCTTTCCAGCCGGTCAACACCTATGTTTGGAGCAAGGGTGAGCGTGATTACTTTAATAAGAGTAATCATAAGTTTCATGTTTCAAGACTTCAGTTCTTTTTCCAGTATGGTGATAATGGTCCAAAACCATCTAGGAAACAACTTATGCTTAAACTATTCATACACTAAAATAAATAAACAGTTACAAATCATAACAAAGTGGGATGTTTGTATAAAAAAGGAGATCCACAAGCTGTACCTCTGTGGGGCTTGGAGAGACTGTGGAAGCCTTGTATCCCAGCTGGAGCAGCATCGCCTCCGCAGCGTTCCGCTTGGCCACCTTCTTGTTGGGTCCTGTTCCCGTGGCAACCTCATTATTCACCTTCACCTGTATGAGCACGGATGCCAAGAAACAAAAATAAAAAAAAAGATAAACACAAAATATCACGAGAATATCGGGCACGCACAGCTGAATGCTGCTCAGGCAAAAACGAAGCACATGTGAGAACTTTACATTAACTTGTGGCTTCCTCGAAGTTTTCACACTGCGATTTTCTGGCAGCTGATAGCAAGTCAGCTGTGCAACATGCATCTACCAAAAGAATGTAAGTGAAGTGTTTGTTATTCAGTAATCTAAAAACATTAAATCTGTCCACGCAGAATGTAAGCAGAAATTTTAAAGAGCGTATCAGACGTCGTCGTGTTATGCAAACAGACAATTACACTGTACAAATAACATTCTGGAAGCCAAAGCCTGTGAACAGACAGGCCTCAGCGCACTTATTCAAAGTGGCCCAACAAGCTGGAGGGCTGTTCTGAATGCATAAAGTGGGTAACAGCATGTAATGAGAGTGAATGACTCAATAAGCAACTAAATCACTGAACAATCACTCTTTTATTAAGAATTTAAAAAATGATTGGAAAGCCATTCGACACAAGGTGGAGGCTTTTCCCTCACTCGTGATGTGCTCTGACAAAAGACACGAAAACAGAGACTCATTTGAGCCCTGCTGCCTACCAAGGGAAACAATGTGGAAATTTTAGAAGAGTGAGTGGACTGCACAAAAGAACACACACACTCGCAGTGCCTAATGTGTGTATCAAAGAGGCATGGAGAATAGGTTTGAGGCTGAATTACTGCCTGATGCTGAGAAAAGCTCTGTTCGTCGTATGAAAGAGGAGGATTACGGAAGGAGAGACAAAGAGGGGGAGACTGACTGAGAGACAGACAGGCAAAGATGAATGGAAGCAGAGAAAGACACAAAAAGAAAGACTGGAGGACTAAAAGTGGACTGTATATGCCAAGCTAATGGTCCCATCAAAGCAACAAAAAAACAAAATTATCTGGTGTTACTGTACAAATGAAAAAAACAAACAAACAAGAAATGGGTGCAGTGATTTATTGAAACAGAAATGGAAGTAAATCATGTAAGCACAGCCTGTATGCTCTAAAGTCAGCTTCCTCAAATGGGTCTTTGAGAACAACATCAGTGTTGAAATAACACCATGCCAGGTCTGTCAAACTGATATCTTACTCATTTCTGTAGGTGCCACTCAAGGAACACACTTTGTATCTTGCCTGCTGTTATATGTACACGAAAAGCTTTTGGTAAGCTTTAAAAAAGAAAAAGAAATAGAGAAAAACATACTGCTCTCATAACATTCAGGTACATTCACTAGATTGAGCATCCAAAGAACAACCCTTTCCAAATAAATTCAGAAAGTATGTACACTGTTACAGACAACGCTCAAAGAAAACCAAAGGAAAAAAAGTCTGACTCTTTGAAAGCAAAATATAAAATAAAGGGCTGAATACTTTTTAACAGTGCTATAGATGCACACGTACTGCAGGGAAAACAAACTCAGTTTTTGGCTCATGTCAAAAGAGGGTAAACAGATTTACCAGCCAGACATATTTTTACCCCCCATAAACATGTATATATTATTCCCTTCCAAGTAATAAGCTGCAGTCCTTCTGTAGCTCTCAAACCCAATTTTTTTTTACTATAACACAGCCACGTTCTGAACTGTCATGAAAAGACACCTACAGTGAATTACAAAACCCCTCCCAAAAGATCTGACAAATGTCTGGGAGTTTTTAAAAACCTATTGAGACCATCATCCAATAGACAAAACTACAAAGAATTTATTTTCAGTGCCTTCCAACACAAAAACCAACATTAACAGCCTCTTCATTTATATGAAAATAATTTGCACCAGGGTCATGGTGTACCCATATACAGTCACAAATGTAGGTTTTGGTACTTTTTGATGAAAAACAATTCACAGCCTGTCTTTTTTCCCCAATAATTTGCATATAGAACCAACAGTCTCTATTTATTTAGATTAATTCTATCTCTGAGAGCTCTGCAACATTTCTGTTGAGTTGTTTTACAGGCTCCATAGTGGGTTTTACAGTTTCCGACTACATTTCTGGATTTAGCTATGTTGACTATAAATGGCTTCCAAGGTACGCCTGAGTCTGTGAGGGGGTAGTGATCAAAAATGGTTGATGATGGTTTTTAATGTACAATAAAGCTCTTCAAGGGCTTGAAGGTCATGGCCACCCAAACTCCATGAATCTTTTAATGAATTACTGCAGAGAAGATGGTGAAAGACTAACTTTTATTACATTGAGAAAGAAGTTTTTCAACTGACCCATGATTCTCTGAGGGAACCTGTAGCACCTCATTTGGAAAAATGAAACTTTTGATGGATGCTTCTTTTATACCCAATGCTGACACCCTTGCCTGCCATCAGTAATCAGCTGATTGCATTGAGTCTTCAACAACACTGTTACAGTGCATTCTTAAACTTTTGCCTCTCACCCAACTTGGTTTCTACTTTTGAATAAAATTATGCTGATCACTAAAGACACTGGAAATTACTTCTGAAAGCTACTGACTGTTAAAAAGAGGTTTAGACAAATTGACAAACTAAAGTATAATGTATCTAAGCGCATATTTCCACCTCGCTGCATTTCTTTCACGCTACATTACAGAAAGAAAAATCTAAACTTTGCGTGATGTAAATGTTTTCTGATTTTCAGCTCCGGTGGCAGCTCAAAATGACTTGAAAATTACTACAAGGCTTGGAGTAATGTGTAAATGTGAAATCTGAACACGAAATGGAGAAATACTAATACTCAGTATAACTTGAGAACACGGCCTCCTTTTTTTCTTTTATCTCTCAGAAATCAGTGTTAACACATGACCAGAAATAGCCTGGACAACTCTGAATAGGTCATCTATGCTATTGGGAAAGATTCATACTCATACAAAGACGACCACTTTGCTTCGTGGATTAATGATAAACAGCAAATGCACAACTTAGCTCAAGGGTAAAGGTTGCTACATCCGCAAGGGCATGACATTTTATTTTGTTGTGAATAATGGCTCCTTAATACACAAGCACATTCTTGTATCTTCCCGTGGTAAGGAAACCAGACTATGGGCTGTCTTTACTAGCTCCAAAAGACAACTTAAAATGTAACGGTATAAAACAGTTGGCTGCTCCACTAAGGAAAAACAGGCCTGTAAAGATGGATGTTCATCTGTTCTGAGCTTTAACTGCACCAATAAAAATACATATTAAACAGAACATTTTGGGAGAGCCTGGGGAGAAAGACAGACACAGACGATGAGAGACAGGCAAGGGAGAAAGAAGAAGCAGCTGGGGTGAAGGAAATGCAGTAATAGTGTACTGAGAGAATTAATTATTATATACTAGAAAATAGATTTAGCGAGCAAATAATACCAAAGCACAAATTAATTTTTTTATGAGGGGAAAAACAGGATGCCTATATTCAACCAACTTTTTTTGCTTTAATATCAATTTTTAAAAATTTCATACAGCCCTCAAATGTAATTCAAACTATATTTGCTAAAGGGAGTAAAACTCTTGCTTAGTTACTTTTTTAATAAAGCAGCACGCATGGTGACAAGCAAGTACGGATTTCACATTTCATCACAGTTTCATACAGGCAGCAACTTTGTCAGTTTGTGAAACAAAAGCATAGCATCCACAAGGCTTTCATAAGAAACAAAGCATCCCAAAGACTGAGGAGGACAGCTTTTGTGATAGCATTGTCAGAACATATTAGAATGATGTCAGCTGATTGTTCTAAACATTACAGAAGAGAAGCACAGAGCACACAGATTAACAAACAAAATACCTATTTTACTTACTCTAAAAAGGCCATTTCAAAGGGTTAAACTTGTACCATGTCAGATAACACTTAAGTCACGGATAGGATAAAGAATTCTTAAGCAATAAAAACTCATCTGTCCATAATATTAAGATTCAGGGAGCTGGGAATGTAAGTAGGCAAAAGTTCACAGAGTGTGAGAAGTCAAGCCGACCCAATCCATTATCAGTGTACAGTCAGGGACTTCCGGATTAGATGTACCAGCGCCAACCTTGAGTGCAAACACTGAGGGTTGTCTAGACAAAGAGACCCTGAGGTTCAGGGAGCTCTGCATTTATAAAAGCATCAAAAGTTTAGAAAAACTTTCCATCCGGGACAGTTTTTTACATGAAGAAATACTTTTCCTTGAATAAATACTTCCAGTCTCCTGACCTTTGCACAAGTCAGTTTTGTCATTCTTTCAAGACTCACAGTGGAGTTTTTTTCCTACCACCCAATAATTCCAGATAGTGAAACCTTACTATGAATGGCTGCTGCTTTGTGCAAAGCACCCAGAATGCAGAACCATATGATCCCTTAAAAAATATATTTCATATTCCTTAAAATTACAAATTTTTTGTTACACAAAGAGGATCAGTAAAATAAAGGAAAAATGGGACACAACCACTTACCTGCATGATGAACTCTCGACGTCGGGGCATCCCTCTCTCAGAGAGTAGCTGGTACTCGGGCTCCTTCTCTTTCTTGGCCTGCTGGATTTGGGCTAAACGGCTGATCGGGTTCATGCCCTGACCGTAGTCCGGTCCCGTCTAAAAGCAAGAGAATACGATTATTTTTCAATTGTGTTACTCTTGTGTAAACTAAAACCCGTTATTGCCATGATTTCTTTTGTAATTCACACTTTGTCATCGACTTGGACACACATGTTAAGCCTGAACTCTTTAGTGAGTGATTGGACTTGGATAAAGTAAATCTTCAGAGACTGACAAAAAAATGATTTAGCTTTTTTTATGAAGTTCATTAAACTTAGAAAAGAGAAGTTTGTGTGAACAGCAAGGCACTATAAGCAGCACCTTGAGGATAGTCTTAGTGCGTTTCTTGTAGTGTGTCTTGGGTTTCTCCACTGTTGGTATGAACGGCAGCTTTTTGAGGTCCTGAAGGATGGACAGAGCGGCGCGCTTCTTGGACAACTTTTTGCTGTTGCCCTCGCCCTCGGCGGAGAACTCCCCAACAGTGACGCGGGTCAGGAAGCTCTTCATGTGCGGTGGCCCGCTTTCCTTAAGCACCTGGTAAAATTGATCAGAACGTCAGCAAAAAAAAACAAACAGACAAGAAAATCTGAAAAGACAGATGTAAATGAATTTGTGTGAGTGTGAATCAATGTTTTAGTCGTGAGTTTTGTGCGCGGGAGTGTGTGCAACACGTTCCTCGAGCAGCTACGCAAGGTGGTCTGAAACATCTGCTCTCTGTGCTTACACATCTGCCCGCCCATATGCGTGTGTTATTCATATATAAAGCACACTGGACAACACTGACGCACAAACACATCTGAAGAGTAACGTGTTCCTGGTTGACAGTCTCTAGTGATGGAGGCTCAGTTTCCTTCCTCCAGCCTCTGGTCACCTGGGAGACCTAAAACAAACACCGGCTGGCGTTAGGTCATGCTTCTGCAATCACGTCTACTTCCTGTGAAGTCTGCGTGCATGTGTTTGTGTGGAAACAGGTGGGGTCCTCCCTGTCCCTGCACAGAAAATATACTGGAGAAAGAATAAGGTTTCACACACTTTTGACTCCAAGAGGTATCCGTTTGGTTCCACTAACCGAATATTAACAGTGCCCATTTTTAGAGGGAGCCTCAGATTTTAATGGATTTTTGTGGATGCAGATTCCATCCCTCTAGCTGTGGCTGCTAGCTTCTCTCTTTTTCTCTCACCCCCCCACCCACACACTCTCCAGCTTTATCCCCCCCTGTCTTTTAGAGCCTAATTTGTTGTGCAGACAGCACAAATTGTTGCAATCAGTTGCAATTTAGAACCAGTTAATTTGAACCCAGTGACCGATAAAAGCGATTAAACTGATAAGCGATAGCTTGAGCATTCCTGAGATACTTCACACATCAACACAGACTAATACCAGACCTTGAGGATTACAGAGCTATAACATATGCATTTCCCCTATTCGCTGTTACACAACAATACCCACACAAAACATACAAAACTATTTAACATTTCAAAAGCGATACAAATAATAAATAATTAACCTGTCAGCATTCCTGCACAGGGACTTCAGGCACTCACTATCTATAGGATGGGAGCCACAGGGAGCTAAAAGCCATAGTCACTATACCCTATGAGATATACTCTGGTTTTATTCATCACCAGAAAAAGCAAATGTACCATGGCAGCTTCATGTGCACGACACATGCAACGAGACTGAACACATCCCATTTCTGAACATCCAATCTTTGTAAATGGTGTTCGATGATGACGGTGCTCATTGCTGGCCTCAGCTAAGCCAAGATTATTGCGCTTTAGTGAAATATTGAGCAAATGCTGTTGCATTTTCTTTAAAAAATTACACTTTAAACACACATATAAACATTTTCTTTGAGATTGGAAGAGAATTAAGCATCCATCTGGGTGACTGGCAGAGAGGCACATCATGTGATTGCGCTATTCCCGGTTTGACTTTATTACATGTCATTGTTTGGTTGTCAGGCAACGAGCAGAAACTCGAGGAAGTTGGTGGTCCAGGCCAAGAAAAACTTTGGCACACAAACCCCCCCATCAACAGCAAATTGTAGATTGTACACTTTTGGTGTTTGCATGGCGAGAGCAAATGAGGTTTAATATTAATTAATCAGCACAGTTTGCACACTGGAGTTCAAACTTTGTCAAATTGGATGATCTGTAATGTATTTCCAGCCCTTGTTCTGCTAATTAGATACATATTGCACCATACTGATGTGAGAGTGTTCCCTCTGATCATCTACAGGGACTCTGGTTAAGGAAAAAAAAGCCTGTATACCATAGACAGTCAAACTTTTGAGTTTTTTGTGTGTACCCCTCATCTTAAGTCGTAGTGGGATATAAATCATTAAACATTTTTGACAAATGCTTGGAGAGTACTGAGAGAAAATCCTTGCTCTCTGTCCACAAAGGTGGCGTTTGTTATCCACTTAAGAAGAAATCAAACATGCCCTGTTCAGGTTGATGTTACAGTCAACAAAGAGCGTGACGGAGTGTATAACACTGAACAATATGCCACATATTCTTGGCCCAGGAAGGCGGCAGACAAGCCGCAGCCAGCGTCCTGGCAGACGACATGAGATCTGCACCACACCGATGGGATTTCAGCGCTCCCATTCACTTACGCGCACAGCGACACACATACGTGCAAACAAACACACAAACACGCCAGTCTACCACCTACTGACAGGGGGATCTGGTTGTACACAGGAAACCTTCTGTAATTCAATGTTGATTTTTTTTCCCAATCCCCTTCTCTTCATCTCTTATTCAAACATGGGAGGCCTTTTCTTCAGCTTCTCATAGAGACATCAATACTCTGAGCAGTCTGAGGCTCTGTGCATGCGAGAACTCAGGTACTCTAGAACAGGAGGCTATGGGAGCAGGGCAGGACAATGGTGGAGACTGGTAGAGGAAAGAAAGGCTCTTTTGTGATGAGCAGTAGATGGACAAGCCCTGAGGGAGCCTGCCTCTTGTAAGATGGGTGGTTCTTGGCCCGGACCCTCTTCTCTTATGTCCTCTTGGAAAGGGAACCCCCGATCCAACACACAAGCTGTGATTTATAGATTGGTTCCTCTTTGATGCTGACATCTGTTTGATATTGCCTGATGGGGGGATTAAATGAGCCAACTGGCTCTCGGGGTGGCGGCGACCCTCATCATTGCAGAGGGATGGGAAAACAGACACTCAAGCAGTGACTCATGGGTAATTTCATGCCCCACTGAGAGTTGGGATGAAATGATGTAAAAACATGGCTACATTCACATGAGAAGTAACCTTTATGGCTTTGTGTAGGATGTATGGCACACCCTTTTTTCTCAGTGCATCAAAGAAGCGAAACAGACTTCACATCACAGGAAATTAAATTAAGCCAAACTGTGTCTAATAACTTGGGGCCTAATGAACCTGTAGGGCAAGAAGAAACCCAAAGAGAGGTGTACATTTGCACTAGGTGCAGACACAGCACTGCAGCAGCGTCTGAGCGTGTTGTACTGAGGATGAAAGTGACTCTGCCGCAGTGATATGAGCGGTGCGATCGGGACAGACAGCTATGTTATCCCTAGATAGGGATTTATTTCCTTCTTCCAGGCTCTTTCATCTCCAGTAACTCTCAGCAGCAATACTTTTTGAAGCCTGACATACAGGCAGCCTGTTCCAAAATCCCTTACATTCCACAAACTGATGAAGAACAAACAAAAGGTCTTGTGACCAGGACCTTTTCCCTTCTGAGAAAGTCTACACATTAACATCAGTCCAGCTTTGTTGGGCGACAAATCAAAAAGCCCAAACTGTTTCCTGTCATGATGGAATGAGAATAACACTGAATGAATGGCTAGTTAGCTGACATTGCTTATTTCTTTACATTATGTGGAACTCCATTTTTGTCTGTTGTTCGCTGAAACTTTAAAACAGAAGCTAAAAGAATGATAATTCATGCTATAACTCATTGATTAAGAAACATACATTCGATGACCCAGTTTAAAACTAAGGGATTGAGGGAGTGACCTCTGTTCTTATCCTCATCCTGATGGCTGCAATACAAAAAGAAAAACTAACTGGTAATGTAGCACAATAATTGCCCTCTCTCTATTTGCTTGTTTTCATATTTGAAAAAGCCCAAAAAATTCAATTAGATTAGTTTTTACAGCCCCTGCACAAAGAGGCTGTTTCTTCTTCTTGCTTTTCCTGAGCAATGCCTTTTGTATCCACATGTCTCATTGTTCACTATCGTGTGGGACATCTGACCTGATTAAATGGTGGATGTTGCTCAACTGAACCGGGCCCTCAGACAGTTCAGCTTGACATGGCGAAGGAAAACAAATGTGGTGTTAGTGATGTGCACAAAGACTATGTAAATCTTAACCGAACTAACTGGGCTGAGCACAGAGAGCACACAAATCAAAACTTGGGAAATAGTCTAAGAATATTAGCCGTTGATGGAGATGTAGATGGATCGTGAAAGTCAAAGTGTGAGAGAAAACACATGGGGAACAGTGACTGATTTACTGCTCATCAGACTGCAGCAACTTCTGCACACTGACAGTGAGGGAGAAGACAGAGTGCTCCGAGGAGTGGGGCTGTGGGCTGCATTTATAAAAAACACTGCTCTCAGCTTCCAATTTTGAGGGGTCTGAAAATGAAAGCGGCGTAATTGCTGACAGTGGCAAAAGACATGGCAGATAATGAATCCCATCAACCCAGATTTAGCTGGCTGAAATCAGAAATAGAAGTTGCAAGGACGACAGCCGTGCCACGCTCTGATAAGCAGAGACCTTTTTGGACAAAAAGAGAGAAAAGATGTGGAAAGAGGAGGACCAGCTAGTTTTCAAGACATGTTTTCCAAAGTTGTGTAAACTCTGTGAGAATGCTTTACCTCCCCCTCTACCTCCAGACACAACTGCCCCATATGTGATTTTTGGGAGGGGTGGAGGTGGAAGGGAGGGATTCTAAGGAGGAAGGGAGGGGGAACACAATGTAAACTGAGCTTCCCTGTTTTTTTAGCACCTTGCTGAGTACAGAAGAAGAAGAGGGGGTGCTGGGTAAGGGAAAGAATATTGGATGAGTCAGTTGAGATATAGTAAAAGCCAAGAAGAACTGAACATGCGGGTCATATGAGGACACTGTGGACTACATGGATGTGGAAATGTTGGGAGCGGTGGGTCTAACTGTTGGAAAAGAGGAAGTAGAATTTCATTTGATGTGTAGGGGAATCTTGCAGAATGAAGCAAAAATATCTATGACACAACCATCAACGAAAATTCATGGAAACCAAAGGAGGAACCTAAATAATAACAATAATAATAATAATAATAATAATAATAATTTTAAAAACTTGGATGGTTACTGGATACACCATCTGTCTAACATAAGCTATGTTCAGCCGTGCCAGTCAGTCCATTGCCAAAGCCAGTTTTAAAAGGAAAATCATTTTTTACAACTGGCAAAAGTTTGCAGTATTGTTTTCCTGTTTTAATTAAATTATGAAATACTCTACATGCTTCAGAAGGATGCAAAGTGGTCTGCACTACAAACACAGACTGAAACCTGGCAAGGTGGATTCTCCTGTGATTTTGTTCATGCAAGAATCCAGCTGCCTTGTAAAGTAATGTCACCAACCCTCTGATGTAAAGTCTTTCTCCACAGAAACAGCTGTGAATAGAATTTTGTTTGTAGCAAACACAAACCACCATATCCAAACAAGCAACCCAGTCCAAAGTTACAGAGGATTAATTTCCACTACATCCAGGGACAACTGAAAGAATTAAAATAACAGACCTATGTTTAGGCATTAGTCCCAAGGCGGAATACTTATCAGGGGGACTGAAAAATCACACCGTAAGTGTTTAAAACGACAGCAATTCACACCTCTACTCCCCCATGTGATGTGTTGCCGATTTTCTGGTAAACAGCTTTTATATAAAGAAACAGATAAAACTAAGTACACTGTCTTTCAGTTCTAAGGCTCAACCCTTGCAAACATATAACCAAATAAACAAAAGCCTAAAAACCAGATAATGCAGAGCCTGCTTGCAGATCCTGCTTCTGAAATACCCACAATTCTTCTGAAAAAATATCTGTTGGACAGAACAGAAAGTGGTGATAAGTGGTCACAGTGCACATTAAAATGTTTGAAGTACACAGAACACTTCATACCAACTTTCAAACATGGTGGTGGAGGGCTGATGATTCGGGCTTGTTCTGCAGCCAAAGGACCAGGTCCAAGAATCCACTACCAGCTCCTCTGTTTGCCAGTGTATTCCAGGGTTAAACGCGAAAGCATGTGGTGTCAGTCAGGTCAAACTTTTTTTTTTCTTTTTTTCCCCCCTTTATTTTGTTTTCATAAACTGCTTTAGCATTTCAGTTGGGTCTTTTTCAAATAAATGACTACAGGTTTTTGTTTAACTGACGTTTCAGTCCCAGGACATTTCAGTTTGCATGTTCTCCCTGTGTCTGCGTGGGTTCTCTCCGGGTTCTCCAGCTTCCTCCCACCGTCCAAAAACCTGCATGGTAGGTTGATTGGGCATTCAAATTGCCCTTAGGAGGGAGTGCGAGTGTGCGTGCTTGTTCGTCCTTGTGTGTCTCTGTGTGGCCCTGCGACAGTCCAGGGTGTACCCCGCCTCTCGCCCAATGACTACTGGGTTAGGCTCCAGTCCCCCCGCGACCCAATTAGGGAATAAACTGTTACGAAAATGGATGGATGGATGGGTGTTTAACTGAAATTGTATAAAGCTTATTTTAACAGGATTGGATCATTCATGACATCCTATAAAGGGCTTATAAATAAAGATGTACTTTTTATCTCAAATTGCTGACTTGCTCTTTCAAATTGTGCCGCAACATTTTGTGTTAAAGTTTTCTAACCTGCACATAACAACCAAACTGGCAGGTAAATCCAGACTTAGTATTACACATGGGTTTTCCAGAAATGTGAATGTTGAAGGTGGGACTGTGTGAACTGGTGTGTTGAACATTTTTTTTAAAGAAAACTATCCATTTAAAAATAAAAATAATTCAGACACTCTTTAATCTTCCTTGATCAATGAACTAATCTTACTGTGTACACTTTAAGTGTGTGATCGGCATTTTTTCAGAATTACCAAATATGAATTTCATTTTTTTTTCATGTTTTTGCGTTTAAAACAAGAATGAAAGCATACACACATCCTTTTAAAACTTCCTCCCAACCCTGGTGTAGTTTAAGGCAGACCACAGTTACAAATTCCTCTTTTAATAAAAAAAGCAGGTTGGATGTTTTAAACATGTTTTAAGTAACTGAATGGGACTGAGTGAAACTCCCATTCAGTTCAAAGGGTGATTCTGGGAAAGTCCTAAACTTCAGTCTATTTAGCCTGAAGATGTTCAACTTCGGAAGTAAGGTGTAGAAATGAACGGTGATCTCATACCACTTCTTTAGAAAGAAACACCGTGTACGGGCTGTTTCAGGGCTGTTTAGCAGAGAGCTTTAGAGGGGCAGGGCAAAAACTGTTCACCTCCAAAATGCCTCACACGTTTCTGGACTTCTGGATGAGCAGTTTGTGTCTTTACTGGGTTCATCATTTCAAACTTAAACTTGTTATAATGTTCAATTACATTCCTCAGCCACGCAGAAATGTACAGAACTAATGAAAAAGTTAATCCTGACATACCTTAAAACCGTCATAGATCAGCTGTAACCAAACTCATTCCAATAAGATACATCATACCCAAGCTTTTCTTAAAAATCACACAAATTCCCATAAAACATGACCTCAGAAATGTACAAATGAAGGAAAAGTGGGAGAAACGCATATCCTGGAACCTAATCAGCATGACTCTTTCGGTTTCCGTTATTTTATCTTTTCACGCAGCTAATGAGGTGTCTGGTTTCAGCAATTCTTCCCATATGATGACATTTCACACACCCTGGAAACCATGACTACTTTTTCATGACATAACCGAACTGCCTTATCTTCTTTCAACATTCACTCTGTGTTTACATCAAAGGGCACCATGACTGGAATTTCACTGTGCTTATAGTAACGACGGCATCACAGCGTTCTAGACCAAGAGTTGTTCAACTAAATAGTTTTGAAAAAAATGTCTTTCACCTCAAAATTCACAGACAAGTTCCTCTTCAGGGCGATTTCATAGACCAAGCTGATCTCTGATTTGCTGGCATCCCCTTCTTCACCTTCCTCACCTTTTTCTTCTGGACTCTGGAAAAAAAACAACACATTTTTTAAATAGAATTTAATGGGGGAAAAAAGAGTGAATTAGTCACGAATAAAGAAAATCCATAAACAAAGACAGAGTTTGAAGGAAGATTAGATTTTAAGTGGTTTGAACCTTGGCTCGGATCTTCTACACAGGTCCTAATCGAACATCTGTTCCCTCACACAGAGAATAAAGGGTTTCTGGGAGAGTGTAAACCTCTGTTAGAACAGTTGTTTTTTCTTGCAGATGACTGCTTTTCCAACAATGATGTGAATGTGAATGATGGGACTTTTCCTCTGACACATAATGTCCCTATGTGTAGATTCAGATCCATCTGGAAGGTGGTCGTCCAAGCGGAAACTCACATAGGCCACCAGAACAGTTCACTTTGGAAAATAAATACGTTTTTTTAACATTTAAAGTCAAGTTATAATAAGAATACGAGAGTAAAACACATTATATCAGGTTTAATACCGATGAGTTGTCTTGGTATCATATATCAAAAGTAAAGTGTACAGCTCTGAGAAAATCCCTTGGAGAAAACTAAATCAGAGCAAAAAAAAGAGGCCAAACTGAAACCAAAACCAAACCGGGAGTATTTCAAGCACCTGCTCTCAGGGATAACGGAGAAAGCCTGATTATCATCCTTTCACAACATTTACAAGAAACCACTCATTGGAAACTGAGTAGTAGTTTAACTGCTCTTGAACAGCTGATGGGGATTTACCGGCATACCAAGCACATTGTAATTACTCAGCTACTATCAGAGGGAAATATTCAAATCATTGTTTTTTATATTGGCATTTTAGTGACACCTGATTTAAACTAAATAATGTCAAAGAATAAATTTGTCCCAAAAGAACACAGGCATAGCTATAAGAAGAATGGTTTGGATCTGTTGATTCTTTCAGCAAGATCTGTCTCTAATGTGTGTTTATCTTTCCTTTATGTACTCAGATTAGTATTTGTGAAAATCAAGAACTAATTTCTTTATAAAACACAAACTAGGGAGAAAAAAGAAAGAGAATAAGATCCTCAGACCTAACTGAGCCAGGATAATCCTGTTTCTGGATTCTTTCAGACCACATAACATTTCTGTGACTGATCAAAGAAAAGTTTCTCGATCCAAAAACTGCTTCTTTCATTAATCGTTAATGCAATTCTGATCCCAACATCAGATGACTTAGGTTTGACCTTTTAGTGGTTCCCATGTTTTCACCCTTTAGTAATGAGCTGTTAAACAAAGGTAACAGTAGGAACATTTAAAAAAAGGTTACCGTTAAAGTCAAGACACCTCTGACTGATAATAAAACCTAGTTCACACCAAAAAATCATGTCGTCATCTGTACACGGAACTTTTTTCTGCATCCATGGGAATGCAGAGGTATGTCTCGATCTTGATCTTTTCATGTCCACGTCTTTGTCTGATTACGTCTGAATGGCTGCGGTCTTTCCCCTTTGGGCTGGTTCCCCTCTCCTGCTTCATTGTGTGACCCGATACAGCACATGATAAATACTGTGAGATGAGATCTCTTGGATTTCACAGGAAGCGGTCACGTTGCACTTAGTGCGGCGGGCCAAAAGGCTTTTGCTGGTGAAAGATACATGCGTTTGTGATGACACATGGAGGACTGTGCAAACATTTCAGGCAATTTAGATGTTTCAATTGTCATTCATCGCAGAGTACCATCGGGGTGTTGTTTGAGCTGTTCCTCACCTCTCTGTGCTGTGCAATAACAATCCAAAACTACTTTGAGAACAACGTTTTTTTGGTTTCTTAAAAAACAACAACATTCAGTTAGAGAGAAGGAAATAATGGTTTGAAATAAAACAGTGTATCATATCAGGAGCCATTCAAGCCATTCAAGATAAATTGAATGAAGCTGACTTTAAAAAGATCATTTCTGGGCTGTACATATGATACATCTCTTGTAGCGTATGTATTCTATTCCTCCTCTGGGGTATGAGAAAAACAAGGTCCAAAGGGGCCGGGTCCAAATTTCTTCAGTTTGCATTTGAACTCCTTCATGCGTCCATAATTTTCAAGGTTACAGTTTCCTCTTTCTCCATGCACCCTTCATAAGTTTGATGGATGGTGTGAATCTCCTTCTCAAGGTTGCCTTAACAAGCTGGCAGCAGTTAAGAGTCTGAAAACTCGTGCAATCCGGTATGACCAAGCAGATCAGCAACTCCGTGTGACAAAGACGAATAGGAGGTTAAAACCGTCCTCTGTACTGCTTCTGCTCATGGACGCACAGGTCAGGGAGTCCTTGGGATAAGTACAGGAATCCACACTTTGAAGATATTGTATAACCATCACCCTGGAGGAGTTTACTGAATGAAAAGCCATTGCAGGCAAAGAGAGAGTTCTTCACTTTAACTGTCCAGCTCAAAACATGCAAGATAAAAGCACAAAAGGATTCTGTGAAAATGCTATGAGAAGCCCTCTCATAAATCGTGCCTTTTGCTTTGTAGCAATCACACTAGGAGTATTCACATTTTCTCAGTCCTATGAATGACCCATTGAATATTAAGTAAACAGCCTTTGTTCAATATTCTTTATCATATCTACAAAATCTACGAGCAGCATCTAAACCCTATGGGGGGATCTGCATGTTGCTATGTGATTTTTAGATTAAACTTTTACCGCCTGAATTTCGGTGAAACCGCAACTTAGCTGCGACTCCCCCACAGGCAGACGTATCCTTGCCCAACCCGAGCATGAACTCTTAATTCCAACTCCACCTGCAGTCTTCCTTGAAAATAGAGTTGACAGGCCGGGTGAAAAGAAACTGAGTCATAGGAGCACACGCACACACTCGTTCAGAGACAGAATGACAGTCCTATACTGTGGACACAATGTGCCTCAATTTGTAAATCAAGACTCAGAAGCAGCGGCAAACAAAGAGCTCATTTATGGTGGCCGACGCCACAAGACAGCAAAGCAGGCAAGTGAGAAGAGCCAAAGCGTTTTGAATAACCGTCCATGATGCCAGGCGGTGAGGATATGGGGTAATTTCATTTCCGGTGGGAGATGATAACAACAGTTAACAGCTATGCCTGAGGGAAACTCTGGAAAGGTACCATGACATTTGGGGTAAGAGAGACAGAAAAGAAGAGATGGGGGAACAAACTTGCCAGGTGCAAATCAAAACTATGGAAGCTGCATGGCTTAATTTATATATCGGAGTAATTAGAGCTGAGGCGGATTTGGATTCAGTTTGATTAAAAAGAACTCTTCTGAGTAGCTCAGAGGAAAATACGTAACTCTCCTCCGAGCCAACACAGAGACCCGAAGAGAGGAGAGGGGGTGGGGGGACAAAAACATTCGACTTTCAATTAAGGGAAAGACTTCAGGTTGGAGGGGTTGGATCAGACCTCTGGGGTGAAGGCGGTCATAAGGACAACAAAAGCACTCTGGGGATGAGGTTGCAATAATAACACAATCTGAGGAGGGGGAGGAGGAGGAGTGGCTTCATGTTTCATAACGCAGAGATGTGTGCAGACAGGAAGACTTGTGCACGACGTATAGTTTTACGAAGTCCTGCTTTTTTACATGTTATGAGCCAGGCCCTATACAGGGTTATATAACCAATTCAGTTTATAAAAGTGAGAAATGTAAAGTCATTTGAGGTAATCTTGCATTCACTTTCCCTACTGCAGAAAATAAATTAAATGAGGGTAGCACAGACCCATTTAATTTAAGTACATCAAGTGGTTTTATCTTTAGAATAGTCTGGGTTCACCAACTCCAACACGTTAGCAAATATCACACATGCGTAATGAATACATTTATTATTTTACACCATTTAATGTCAATTTGAAAAACTTGACATTAAATGAAAACTATAAGAATTGCTGAATCACATTTAACAAAAAGTAAAGGTGACCCTATATATTTATCCCTTCCTGTTAAAGTGTTTGCAGAATTTAATAACACATTCCCAAAATGCCTGGTTAATAAAATAAAAACAGTTTACTTTTTTGTTCTCATCTGTAAACACATCTTTTGTTCATCAAGTGCTGATACTGTTTTGGGTCTTAAGGATACAGTCCTGTGTTTTACTAAATGTTGGGCTGGAAATCACAAGATTGGTGCAGGCATGAGACGGTTAAAGTTGAATCCAATGTTTTTGCTTGTAAAAACCAAAGTCAGGACAGCATAAACTTTAAGTCAACTAACTCTGTGATTTAAATAATTGGAAACGATGGTGAGGCTGTCTGCATGAACCTTTTCAGTTTTGTAACCAACTGAGTGACGGCCTTCAGGAAGTAAAATCAAGCAAATATAAACTAGTCGTATCATTCATTTCACTTTCTTTGTTACATGAAACACATGTATCTATATTTTGGTCGATAGCTATGTTTGGGGTTTTTTAGGGGAGCTATTGATATTTTGTCAAATACTGTACTAATTTGATATTATGAATGTGAAGGTATTTTAAAATGCATGAATAGTCTGAATGCAGAAAATGTGAGAACTTGTAGAAATAAATTGCTCACAAGCTTGATCTGAATTAAGTCCCAGACAAAAAAAAAAATTGTATTCATAATAATTATGTATAATATACTTCTATTCCTGTGGGGAGCCACAAGCATGCCCTTTTGTATGAAAAGTTTGTTTGTGACTCGGATCTTTAGATGAGTGAGCAAATGTGGGCGGCGGGGGGTCATCGATTTGTTATCCAATCAGTGAGGGATTTCCAGACGCTCAACTTGGACGTCAGTGATCCACCATGTCTCAGCAAGGTTTGGATACCTCGCCTTTATAAATCTGTTGTGTCATTTGTGTAAAGAGATGCATGCCAAAACACTGTTATACTCCAACAAGAGGATCATGGTGGAGAAAACACTTCCCCTGGTCGCTGAGCCGTACTGGATCACTGACGTCCAACAAGAGCGTCGGGATATCTCCCCACTGATTGGATAACCCGTCGATAACCTCACTGTTAAACCAATGTTCTTGCATTAGCCATCATCCTTGTAAGATCTAGCTTTAACAATGGCTAATAATGGATGATTGTTGATTCAAACCATTTTTAGGACATCATAAATATGCCCAAATCATTACAGACATAAAAAAGGGAGACACTTTTTTTTAAACTGCAAAAGTCAACTAGACCAAATTCTCTGAATATCCTGAAGATTGGTAGTTTTTGTCTTTTTGATGGTTTTGTCAACATTAACAAAAACAAAGAAAATGAAGTAAAAAGAGTAGCAATGATTTGTGAACAACACCACAAGGTGGCAGCAACGCAGAAAACTGGTGCTAAAATGCAAAATGGTAACTTAGTCACGACTTTCAAAGGTTATTGCTGGAAGGTTTTAACTCCAAAAAGGAACCATTAAAATCTATCTAACTGCCCAAAAACCTAGATATTGAAAACCCAACAGGGGTATTCTGTTCCAGAGATATAGGTTATTGAGGACTTAGGAAGTTAAGAAACTTCTCCCACTCATAAAAAGAAAAAAACAAAACAATCAAACTTAACTCGCTTCCATATTAAAACAATTCTCTCCGGATTTCTTACTGGATTTCCAGTGAGATGTGCAAACATACACTTGGAGGTGGTCAGCGATAACATTTGGACGATTTCAAAATTTAAATCAGGCTTTTTCCATTGAAACGCACAGTTTGGCAACCTTTTTTTAATATTATACTCAAGATTGAAACGTAATAATTAATGAAAAACGTATGTTATCCAAGCGGAAGTATAGCACACAGTCATGCAGTAACAGTTTGATGTGTCCTGCTGCCAAAAAAGCGAGGAAAAAACAACTTTCTTAAGCAAGACTAACAAAGTCAGATAGAAGTCCACTGTCTACCAGTGTTATGAAGATAGCAGGGGGAATTCCCATCGTTAACAAAGCCAACAAGTGCGTGTTAAACTTCAGCTGGCATTTAGGTTGTTGTGAGCCTCTGTGTTTTTATGTGTTCGTGTTTACCTGCGGTGGCCGTTCGGGAATGGGTTCATTGCGCAGGGCTTGTAGGGCTTTCATGGCAGCGTTGTGTCTCGCTGCCTGGCGGGTGCGTCCTTCCCCAATGAACTCATGACTCCCCACTGAAAGCTGCACGTAGAAGATCTTAAGAACAGGGTAATGGTACCTGAAACAAACAGGCGACATAAGCAGGAGAAGGAATGAAGAAAAAAACATTTAACAACGGAGGAGTAGAGAAGATATCACATATACATGATTTAAAACAGATTTTAAAGAAACTGGGGCGGAAGAGGCCCAAACAGTATGAGCCAAGTTATCAATTCCCCCAGTTTACAACGTTCCCAAATTAAAGGGCCACCACTTCATCAGGGTCAATTACAACACAATAGCCTGTTGGCCAACTACTAGAGTAATGTCTGGCTATTGAATCTCAGCTCAGGGATACAAAACAAAGCACAGGAACATATATCCTCTCCTCTTTCTTCTAGCCTCTAACATAGATTATACTCTCTTTCATTGGGTCCTGACAGAGCGGGACTGAGCTGTCACTGAGCAGATTTAGAGGTCTGCATGCGTGACATCCCCCCACACACACCGCCACCCCCCCCCTCGGGTCAGAGGGAAAAGGGCTGAGAACGTCTGCTGGACTCAGGACAAGGAAAGAGAAATAGTGGGAAAACTAATAAGAGAAGCAAGAAGCAAAACACAACGTTTTTAATATCCTTCTCCCTGTCTGCTTTAATCTCTGCCAATATGCACTTGTATCCACAAAGACGTACAGCCACCATATGTGGTCGACTTTAATGGAGTGTAGCAACTGAGATTTAAAAAAGTATGCATTACCCAGAGTTCCGTGTTAGGCACTGGGATTTTCATGAGAGAAAGAACTTGTTATGGAAGTGTATTGGTGGAATTTATTTGACTTTTGTGCAGAAAACTAAGACATTTGCTGCAATGTCTTTTTGTTTCACTGAGTGTATATTTCTGTACTGGAGCATCTTGCATGGAACAGCAGTCAAGCTAAAACATGATTAAAGGCATGTGGGAATTTGGGGAACCCAACAAACTTTAGGAAAAGAAAGCATGTGTACTCTGGAAAGTTATGCAGTGGTTTTCACAACAATTTGTACACATGTTTATTATTAGATGAAGACAGATCAAGATAAGCTAACCATAACCCTGCAAGCACTTCTTAATATGAACCAAAGAACTTCATTAGAAGTAGACAAACTCACATGTGCACACTCATTATTCTAAAAACTGAGACGAGCTTTTTCCTCCGTTAAAAATCACAAAAAAGGTGCCTTGAGCTAAAGTTCACAAAGGCCACAAATCTTACTCTCACAGTATAGTATTATGAAAACTGAAAAATGGACTGGGACATATTTCAGTTTTCACATTTCACTTGCTCAGAGGGTTAAACACTTAAACAGGGATAAAACTTTTCTTAAACAATGCTTTTTTTTAGTCTAGCTGACCACTCAAAGTGCTTTACGCAACTAACCATACAGTCTTGTCAAGGGGAAACCTTTCCAGTACTACCTAACTCAGCACGACTATACCCGCTCTTTAAATTTCCCATTCGGTGGAAGCACCTGGTAGCAGTTAGAATTTCAGCACCTACTCCACTGGGATTCACAGTGAGCCGAGTTGAGCCAAAAAGCTGACGTCTACAGACTGTAGGCCATTGATTGGCTGGAGAATGGAGTTGCCGGTTGAGTCATGAAAGCGACCGATCCACAACAACTCTGCTAGCAGAAAAGCAGCAACAGTGACAATGTCAATTTATTACTTATGCGATCATCAAAGGGGTACATGTCTACACTAAAAAACTAACACAATGAGGTGCTAAAGGGATGTCGTCGCTGCAATGTCCTTTCGGGCCATCTCTCTGTAGCAGCCACACATGGACTGATGTGGTACTTAAGAGTCATGGAAACAAACCTACATCAAGATGAATCTATCAGATATTTGATCATCTGATGAGAGGGACAAAAATATTCAACATTGAAACTGTTTGCTGACACCCTAACAAAGATAACCCAACATTCCTGTGGAGTCTGCAATTTCCTGATTAATCACTTTGGGTGTCATCCTTCAAGAAAAGTAAGATGATTGAGGCACTTCCATAATTACAACCTACCTGCCTACAATCAACTTTCTATTGAGAAATCGCCAGTGTTTTGTTCTTACACAGCAGGAGACAATGTTTTGACAATAAAACTATCTATGAACATTTTCTCCCCATACTCTCATCTTTATTGTCCTCAACAAGTGGTTTGACTGAGCAAAAAAAAGTGACTCAGCGTTTCTCCCAGAATTCCAGTAGGTCGTTCTCCACAGCTCAGCCCTAACTGTTCTCAACTTCTGGCCACGGGAGATTTCCCAGGGCGGGGACCTGCCTGGTCCTCGCACGTCTAGTGTGGCCCCAGGATCTCAGAGGACATGCCAAGTGCAACATGGGTTGTGGCCAACAGCGCTGAGCTGAGATGGGAGCAGCTGGAGCTGCGGCGTCGAGTACAGGTGCAGAGGGGAAGAGAGAGAGAGGGAAAAGAGAGACTGAGAGGGAGACTGATGGAGAGTGGAAAAAGGGGAAGGAAAGAGAGAAAAGAGAAAGGGACGTGGAGGGAGGCCTGTGGGAGACCCGACTCAGCAACGTGGGAAAGTAGTGGCTTACACACAGGCAAGTAAGCCAAGAACACAGGCCGACTCACATACACAGAAAAATTCACGTAGACCCCCGACCCCCCCCCCCCCCACAAAAAAACTAAAAAAAACAGGCAGTTCTCTGTAATCACTTATTACTTTTGTTATCATTCTTACTAAATAGAGTGTTTTGGCTGGAGACCTGCAGAAAGGATGTGGAGACTGCTGATAGGAAAACGGAAAATAATTTGTAAAAAACAGCTTTGCGTCTGCACAATGACGCAAGTGTGCATGTGCGTATTTGGTACGAGTCTTAAAAGCAAACACGTGATACCAGAAACTCAATCAAATGATAACTCATCGCCAATTAAAAGTGAGTAATGAATTTGACTTTGAAGGCAGAACCTCCCTGCAGCTCTCTTTCATGTGGGCCATGCTGGTGAAGGTTACTGCTTCATCTTAATCATTTAAAGACTCATGCGTGAGCACACAGAGAGGAACATTCAGACAGCCCACACACAGGCCGACTGGGATATGGATCTTTTGGAATTCCAATTACTACTAAAAATGACATGAGTGACATTTCAGCAGGAAGTTACTCACTTCAGTAGCATGAAAAACAGTTTTCTTTCCAAATGCCTGTGTAGAATAGAATCCGTATCTTCACTTGCCCCATGTGTTGCAGTTTTTCTGAGCCGATCTGCTCACTTCTGAGCCGCTGTACTGACGTTTTGGTTCTTTTGCATGACATTTAGTCATGTCACCTGGGGAGTTTTCCTGAGGGATTTCAGTACCCATGTGGAGAATGACGGAGTGACTTGGAGGTACCTAACATGGGAGAAACGTGTGAACCCAAGATGTGTTGCGGGATGAGTCGAGAAAGCAACTCCATCATGTGAACTCTGCCTCATTTGTAGAGGATAACCACCTAAATCGAGACAAGTACAGTCGGGTAGGGCACAGTAGGTACTTTTGGAAATTGATCACAATACTATGTTTGAGTATAAGGTGGTTCTTAAGTGAAGCTGATACTTTCAGAAAAAGGTTGATAATTGATTTAGTACTTTATGACCGAACCTGCAGTTACCCATTTTTTTTAAACCTGGGTGAAAAGTTAGTATAGCTGTCAACTGAAAACCACAGGGTGATGAGTTGGTTCTGATACCACTGGTGGCTGCCATACAGACCTGGTAAATCCAAACAGAATTGCAAGTGAGAATGCTTGTGGAAGCTAAAAACTAGGCATAAGAGGAGCTAAGGAACTACACTCAGCACTCTAAAAAGCCTCCTGGCAGAGGGGTGTCAAGAATGGATGGGAATAGTTCAGAGATTGTGGCTGTTGTGTGGCTGATACGTTTCTGCAGTATCACTTTGAGGTCTGGGATGCCTGTTTAGATCAACCCTAACCCTAACCCTAACCCTAACCCTAACACTAACCATGATGAACAGAGAAAAACAACAACCGCTCAACATGAAGAGGAGGGACTATGAAGGCTAACACCACATTCAAATGGCAAATATTTGGTTGAACTGTGTACAGACTCCCCCTAACTGTACAGTTTAAGGCTGGTAAAATCTGAATTTGGTCAGTTAAACTATGATTTCTTCTGAGGTTGGATCAGAATTTGGGTGTCAACACCATAAATTGATGAACCCAACCTGCATTGTTCCAACAGTTCAACGGTGGCGTAGGTGTCAAACTCTGAGGAATGTTTTCAAGCAAATGTTGGGCCCCTTAAAACTAATCAATCAGGGTCTGAATGGAACAGCTTAATAGTATTGTTGCTGGACATGCATTCCAAAATCTGCATTTTTAATGCTCACCATTTTTGGTTATATGTTCCACATGTGAACATTTTATTTGCATTTATAAAATCTTCAGAAAACCTGGAAATGGTACCTGAAGGGATTTTGAATATCCTCCACTGCTGCAGATAGAACTGAGATGATAAGGAAATTAGACATCTGTATGAATAATATCTGAGACATTGATACTTAAGAGATCCTGCACAAAGGGATGTGAATGATTGGGTTTCTCATGTTAATGTAGAAACCTCGTGCGGAACCTGATCGAAACCGGATAAGAATCAAAGCCAAGAAATAATTTACATGAATAATTAATGCTGCTTTGAGCACAAATGGGTTAAACATTCTGTGTCTTTACACATTACATTGGCTTAATTGTTGGTAATCATAGTAAAGGGAGAAAAAGAGAGAAAGGTGCCTTTTCAATTCACTCCATCTAGAGGGACATTTTTAACGCATCATTAACGCATTTGTGTGGGTTGCTGTTGTGTGTAAGTTGAAAACATATGAACTCTACCACAGCACGGAGGAGCACACAGGAAAAAAGTGGGCCAACCACACACAGACAAATAGCCGCACATGAATGAGGGAGTGTACTGGCCTACTTGTTTTCCAGCGTCACTGAGCTTGACCACCAAGACATCTACTGGCCACACAAGCAAACATGAATAGCTTCCATATACACGCACACACACAAACACGATGCGTGTGTT